ATTTTCATAAACATGCTATGCTAATTTTTTTTTTTTTAAACAGCAACACATGGAAGACGACTGACATGGTGATGCTTGTGAGGGTGTCTCATGGGCGGAGGGTGCAGCTGGCAAATGCAGAGGGCGCACATTCTCTGCATAAAAGTACAGTATTTTTATACATTTACCATTATATAGCATGAATGACATAACAACTAGAATTACCAATCAAAAATACCTTTAAACTGGCCCTTATATTTGCCAATAAAATTACTCTTAATGGAGATCTTTTTTTACTTTGTATGGCTTAGAGTTACTGTCTAATAACCTTTCCTTTCTATCTGAAGGCCTCTCTTTAGTATTTTCTGTAAGGAAGTCTGTATGGGAGGTAATGACCTCCCTCAGCTTTTATTTTGGAATTTCTTAATTTTTCTCTCATTCCTGAAGGACAGTTTTGCCGGATATGATATTCTTGATAACAGTTCTTTCTTTCGGCACTTTAAATATGCCTTTCCACTGCCTTCTGGCCTCCAAGTTTTCTGAGGAGACATTGTCACTTAATCTTAAGCATCCTTTGTATGTGACAACTTGCTTCTCTATTACTGCTTTCAGGATTCTTTGTCTTTACTTTCTGAGAGCTTGATTATAATGTATATTGGTGTGGACTTCTTTGGGTTTATCCTACTTGGAATTCATTCAGCTTGTTGTATTTGTAGATTGATTTGGAAAGTTTTCTGCCATTATTTCTTTAAATATTCTTTTTCTCTATTTCTTTCTGGGATTCCTATGTTGCATATGTTAGTTCACTTGATGGTGTCCAACATTTCCATTAAGCTATGCTCAGCAGTCTTGAGCCTTCTCTCTTGTTACTCTTCAGATGCCATAATTTTAATGACCTTATATTTTAGTTCACTGATTCTTTCTTCTGCCAGTTCAAATCTGCTGCTAAGTCCTACCAATGAGTGTTTATTTCAGTTATTATATCTTTTAGTTCCAGTATTTCTATTTGGTTTCTTTTTCTATCGTCTATTTCTTTATTTATGTTCTCATTTGTTCATGCACTGTTTTCTGAATTTCCTTTAGTTCTTTGTCTTCCTTTAGTCTTTTTTAGTTTAATATTGTTGTATTATATTTTTCCAGTCTGTTCATTATCTGGGTTTCCAAAGGGATGCTTTCGTCCCTTTTGCCTTGTTCTTTTGAATGGGCCATCATTTCAAGTTCCTTTGTATGCCTTGTGATTTTTTGCTGAATCTGGGACATTAGAATATTATAATGTGTTAGCTTTATCAATTCCCCCATATACATGGTGAATTCAAAAGCACTCATTTCTGACAAAACAGGCGTAGTCTTCCAGTTTTGCTCACTGCTCCTGCCCTTACCCTGTGAGACCTCTGATTCAGGCGAGACTGACATTTCAGTCCTTCAGCAATTCCCAAACGAATCTGAAAACACACACTGATCAATGTGCCCTTAGCCAGGCACAGGCTCCAGTCCTTGCTCATTGCTCCCTCCCCTGCTCTGTGAGGTTTATGATTCAGGCCAGACCAAGGCCCCAGAACTTCAGGCCACACCTCGACCAGTAATATACATCCTTAACAGTCTACCAGGAAGATCTGCCCCATTTCCTTCAGAGCCAGAGATGTGGGCCCTGCTTAGTACACAGGAGAGCTATAGGTCAGCTAGAACTGCCACATCAGGAGGGAGAAAGGTGGGAACAGTGGAAGAAGAGGTCTTTCTACCATTTGAAATTCAACTTTATCTTTTTTCAGTTTGCAGCTCCATTCTGCTGTCCTTTCCATTTTCAGGATTCTTACAAGGTACAGATTTCTAGTTGCTTTTGTTGGTGGTTTTGTGGGGAGGGTTGGGATCCTAGACCTGCTCATGCTGTCATCTTCCAAGCACCTTTCCCTTTAATTTTTTTTTTTGCAGGGCAGGTCTCCTGGTAATTAATTCTTTCAGGTTTCATTTTCCTGAAAAAAATCTTTATTTCTGCTTCATTTCTGGAAATTTTCACTGAGCATGGAATTCTGGATTGACAGATTTTTTCTTTCAACACTTTAAAGATGTCACTCCACAGTCTACTGGCTTGCACGATTTGCTATAATTAATATCTTTGTTCCTTTGTATGCGTCTTTTTCTCTCTAACTGGCTTCAAGATTTTCTCTTCTTTGGTTTTCAGTAAAATGATGTGCCTAGGTGGATTTTGTCTTTTTGTTTGCTTGTCTGTTTAGTCTCTGAGCTTCTTAAATCTGTGGTATGAAGTCTTTCTTTCTTTTAGAAAATTTTCTGCCATTATCTCTTCAAATATCCTTTCCTCACTCTCTCCTCTTTCTCCTTCTGAGATTCCAATTACATATATGTTAGACTTCTTGATATTGTCCCACAGCTGTGGAGTATTCTGCTCTGTGTCTTCTCCACTCTTTTTTATCTCTACATTTCAGTCTGGGTAATTTCTATTGACCTATCTTCAAGTTCACTGATCTTCCGATGATCCTATCAAAGGCATTTATCAACTCTGTTACCAAGGTTTTTCATTTCTATTATTTCCATTTGATTCCTTCTAATAGCCTCCATCTCTCTGCTGTAATTTCCTTTCTGTCCATGCATGTTGACCGCCTATCCCACTAGAGTTTTCAACATATTATAGTTATTTCAAATTCTCTAATATTTCTAACATCTGGGTCATATCCAAGTCTGGTTATGTTGATTGCTTTGTTTCTTAACAATGTGCTGTTTTTATCTTGCTTCTTTACGTGCCTCATAATGTTTGGTTGAAAGCTAAGCACGCTGTGTAGTATTTATGCCTGGAAATGAGTATGTTTCTTCATTTTTTAGGTTTTCGTATGGGGAGAGGGGTGAGTTGAAACAATCTAATCACAAGCGGAGCTGGATTTGGGTGTTATTATTGCTATGATTATTCACAGTACACTATAGATTTCAAATTCCTGTAGCCTTATCTAGTTTTTAGGATGTAGGCTCCTTTGCCAGAGAGTTTTTCTCAATATCTTCTACGCCACCCTCAGCTTTAGGTCCTCTCTTTGTGCTTGTACTCAAAGAAGGTCTCCATGCTATTGCCTCTCCCCAGCAATAGAATGCTCTTACTCAGCATTTTTTAACCTGGTAGTTAAGAGCATGAGAGGATGGGTTTTCTCTGAGGTTCAGTTTCAGTCTTAGGTAGGCTTTGAGTCTCTGGCTCTTGTGAGTGGGAACTTCCAAGAGATCCTATCCTGAGGTTGATAGAGTTTGCACCCTTTCCCCCATCAGCTTAAAGCTTTTGTTCTAGAGGATCCAGGTGGGGCCTAGTTCCTGTCCCATAGAGAGTGCTGTTCCATCATAAGGCATGCACCATGAGAAAGGCTTTTTCACTCTTAGACCCTTCCTCCCTGCAAATCTGGTTTGTCTGTAAGTCCTTTTTCAGCCCTGACTTCCCTCCTTATCAAGTCTTTGTTTCAGACTAGGGCCTATAAAACCCTTGCCAGCAGCCAGCACATCCATCTCCATTGTTCCAAACAAGAGACTGGAGATCTGAGTTCTACACCAAATTTGTCTGTGATCTGCTAGCCATAGGCTTCCTTTCTCAGCATCTTCCTGCACCCATACTTGATTTTCACTATATTTGGCAATCCTTTACCATATGCTGTGATCAAATATTACAAATTTTTAAAAAATTGTAAAAAATTACAAATTTGAAAAAAATTACAATTTTTTGTAATTCTGTAAAAATTTGTTTAAAAATTACAAATATTTCCTGTATTTTACAACGTCAGAATATGCATTTGTTTTTCAATCTCCTTGTTACTTTGTCATTCAAAAAGGAAAATTAGAATCTTTTTCTTTAAAATGATGTTTTTAAAACCAGAATTTTGGTAAGAGAATTTGTTCTCCATTTTTACTTTACTGTAAATAAATAAGCATATGTGAATATATACGAGAGTAGGAATAACATTTAAAGAAGAATTCAAAGGTATTACATAACTGCTAAAAGGCTCTCCTATTTCTACCATGCTAAAAAACAAATTGAAAACAATTACATATGCTTAACCAATGCAATATAAAAGGACATCCTTACCGGAAATGTACAATTATTGCCATTTCAACTTAAGAGAGAAATAAATAATAATTAAAAAGGGCAACTAATATGACTGGGTTTTTACATGAAGACAAACTAAAAATAGCAGGACTCTTCAACTTATAAAGACACCAAGTAAAAGAATATGATCCAACTTCACAAAATCATGGACTATACTGAGCGTCTTCACAAATCCTAGAACTTATTTCATGGTGAACATGAAATAAGTAGTTACTTATTTCATGGTGAACATGAAATAAGTAGTTACTTATTTCATGGTGAACATGAAATAAGTAGTTTTAGAATCAACAAATTTAGGAGTTTTAAGCAAGAGTTAAGGGTGAACAGGTTAAAAAAGCAGGTCTAGATATATTAACACACACACACACACATATTTTACATTTTAAAGCTGCCACATAGCTGTGCCTTGATTTAAAAAAAAAAACAAAAAACAAAAAACCTGGACTATTAGGGAATAAAATTGAGCTGCACATGCCACTAATATTACCCAATGACTTTGCTCCATTATCCAATAATTTCAATTCATGTAAACTTTAAGAGCAAGGATCATTGTTTTACCAACTGAAGGGAAGCAAATAACATTATTGAAATTATTTTCAATGAGCAAACCAAGTCATAAAATCCTATAAAGTGAAATACAAGAAAGTAAACCATTTTCTTCAATTTATGAGGTTTTTTGACAAAATAAAGGAATATCCAAGAATGGTAAAAAAGATAAGACCCGCATTGAGTGGCAGAAAATATACAAAACTAAGAAAGACTGTAGAATAAGTCAAGTTCTCTTAATGAGGGTAGTAGATGGAGGGAAAAGAGAAAAACATTCTAATGCTTTCAAGTGTCCCAACTTAAAGTAACTCGAAACTCTCTAATGACACTACATGATTCAAAGGAAAGGAATATAACCAGTAAAACAAATACAGTTATTGCTTACATGTTTAAAAGACCCATAGGGAACTGCTGTGGATCCTGTGTCTTCTAGGTAATCTTCCCAGCTTAATTCCACTTCTTCCACACCAGATCCAGTATCTGGAATTAAAAACAAAAACAGGTGAACCCAATCAAAGAAAATTCAAGGTACAAAACCATAAACTAGTAAACCTAACTTACAGAATTTACTTCACGATAAGTTGATTGATTTTACACAAAAGAATTAAGAGTTCTTTTTAAATGATAGGTTCCCTTCATGCACTGATTTTAATGAATCTCAACAGTGCAGTACTATGACAGGCCGTTTCCTGCTGGGATCCGATCTGGAGGTCACCCAAATGGATCATGTAAAGCTGGTGTGAGTGTAAACTACTGCAATCATTTTAAAGCGCAATTTAGTATCTAATGCCATGTATTTAAGATATTTAACAGGCATATCGAACTTAAATTTTCAACCTGATCTGCCTTAGCATCATCCAACTGAGTAAATTATACCACTAGTCAATCTTTTGCCTCAATCCAAAAAATGTGGAGTTGTTCTTGATTTCCTTCCTTTCTTTCATGCGTATAGGGTTAATTTTACCCAAAGAATTTGGTCTTTGTCCTTGGTCCTGAGAGATAACCTCCAAAACCCTGGAATTTCCCCAGTGACTGAGGTTTCTTAGAGGAGGGCTCCAAACCACATCTATCTAATAGGTTAAGCTAATGAGGTGACTCAGGTAGGGACTGGCCATATCAGAAAGATTCACCACGTGTTATCAGCTGACCTCAGAGACGGAGAGGAGGGCACGATTCAATCAGTCCTGCCTACATGATAGAGCCCCAATAAAGGCACTAGACACGGCAGCTCCATGGGCTTCCTGGTTGGTGACAGGTATCAATGCATGCAGGAGAGTAGCAAGTTCCTTTTTGGTACATGGAAGCCTCACATTAGAAACCCTCTCAGACTTGCCCTCTGCATCTCTTCATTTGTATTCTTTTTGCTATAAGACAACTGTAATCGTAAGTATGGCGAGTTCTGTGAGTCATTCTAGCAAATTATTGAACCTCAAGGAGTAGCAGGAGACAGCAGGTCAGAAGTGATAGGGGCTGGTAACTCCTGAGCTTCTAGCTGGTATCCTGAGTAGGTACAGAAAACCCTCGAATTTGTAGACAGCAGGTCAACAGTGAGGGTCTTGTGGGGATCATCAAGTTTGCAGCTGGTGTCTGAAGTCCTGGGCAGACTTGGCAGTCTAGATAGCTCTGCCCTTTAACAAGATCTGACCAAGCTCTGGTGGTTAGGGTCAGAGGAATAAGCACTGCATCATGCAGCTGGTGTTAGAATTGAACAGAATAGAACTGAACTGATTGAATTCATTCATTTGGTGTAAGAAATGGACAGACTGCAATGATTTCCTAATCGTTAGTGTCAGAGATGCAGGATTTGATCTTTACATTAACTTACACCCAATCTACTAGAAAATTCAGTAGGTACTACACTACATCTTTAAAACATCTCAAATCTAATCACTTCTTAACATATCTACTTCTACCTCTCTACCCCAAGGCATAACCATAATATTTTCACCTTTCAATCACACTTAAAAAATAAAATCTAAAATCCTGGGAGACTACAAGGTCCTATGTGATTTGGCCCCTGGCTACCTACCCTTCCACCTCGTCCCCAGCCAGTCTCCCATGGCTCACTACACTCAGGTGACAGGTCCTTGCCACTGTTCTCTAATCATGCTCGTTCTTCAAAGCCTTCGCATTTGCTGCTCCCTCAAAGACTCTTCCCCCAGAGTATCTAATTCCTTCATTTAAGTTTCTACTCAAATGTCACCTCTTCAAAAAGTTCTTTCATCAGCATCCAACTAAAATAGAAATTCCAGGGCCCCGCTTTCATTTTCTTCACAGTATTCGTTCCTGCCCAACAGTATACCATATGTCTATTTATCTCTTCCATTAGATCGTAAGCTCCACGAAGGCAGGAACTTTCTTTTGGTCACTCCTATATGTCTGTCACTTAGACTGTTAAGTACCTGGTATACTGTAGAGACAATAAATATTTGTTGAATGAGCAAAGATTCAAATACTCCATAATCTAATAATCCCAATTCATGTAAACTGTAAGACAAGATTCATTGTTTTGCCAATTGATGTATCCCCACTGTCCAGAACAATGCTTGGCACACAGTAAATTCTCAATAAACAGTTGGTAAATGAGTACACCCTAGGGAAACCCAGGCTTCATACAAACACAGGAAGACAAATACAAGAATGTTCACCATAGCAATGTTTTCAGTAGCAACAACTGGGAAGAATCACTAGGAGAACAGATAAATTATGGTAATCCTACTATAAAATATTACTATACAGGCATACCTCGTAGATATTGCGGGTTCAGTTCCAGACCATTGCAATAAAGCAAGTATCGCAATAAAGCAAGTCACATGAATTTTCTGGTTTCCCAGTGCATATAAAAGTTATGTTTACACTATTCTGTAGTCTATGAGGACCCCTGGTGGCACAGTGGTTAAGAACTTGGCTGCTAACCAAAAAGGTCAGCAGTTTGACTCCACCAGCTGCTCCTTGGAAACTCTATGGAGCAGATCTACTCTGTCCTGTAGGGTCACTATGGGTCGGAATCAATTCGACAGCAATGGGTTTCACAGTCTATTAAGTCTGCAACAGCATTATGTCTAAAAAAAACAATGTATACACCTTAATTTAAAAAAAATACTTTATTGCTAAAAAATGCTAACCATCATCTGAGACCTCAGTGAGTCGTAATCTTTTTGCTGGTGGAGGGTCTTGCCTCAGTGTTGATGGCTGCTGATGGATCAGGATGATGGTTGCTGAAGACTGGAATGGCTGTGGCAGTTTCTTAAAATAAGACAACCAATTAACTATTCCTTTCATGGAAGATTTCTCTGTACAATATGATACTGTTTGATAGCATTTTACCCCCAGCAGAACTTCTTTCAAAATTGTAGTTAGTCCTCTCAAACCCTAAAGCTACTTTATCAACTAAATTAATGTGATATTCTAAATCCTTGGTTGTCATTTCAACAATGCTTACAGCATCTTCACCAGGAGTAGATTCCATCTCAAGAAACCACTTTCTTTGCTCATGCATAAGAAGCAACTCCTCATCCATTAAACTTTTATCATGAGATTGCAGCAATTCAGTCACATCTTCAGGCTCCACTTCTAATTCTAGTTCTCTTGCTATTTCCACCACATCTGCAGTTACTTCCTTCACTGAAGTCCTGAACCCCTCAAAGTCATCCATGAAGGTTGGAATCAACTTCTTCCAAACTCTTGCCAATGTTGATATTTTGACCTCCTCCCATGAATCATGAATGTTCTTAATGACATCTAGAATGGTGAATTCTTTCCAGAAAGTTTTAAATTTACTTTGCTTAGATCCATCAGAGAAATCAGTATCTGTGGCAGCTACAGCGTTATGAAATGTATTTTTTAAATAAGACTTGAAAATCAAAATTACTCCTTGATCCATGGGCTGCAGAATGGATGTTACGTTAGCAGGCATGAAAACAACATTAATCTTCTTGTACATCTCCATCAGAGTTCTTGAGTGACCAGGTGCATTGTCAATGAGCAGTAATATTTTGAAAGGAATCTTTTTCTCTGAGAGTACGTTTCAACAGCGGGCTTAAAATATTCAGTAAACCATGTTGTAAACAGATATGCTGTCATCCAGGCTTTGTTGTTCCACTTACAGAGCACAGGTAGACGAGATTTAGCATAATTATTACAGGCCCTAGGATTTTCCAAACGGTAAACGAGCATTGGCTTCAACTTAAAGTCACCAGCTGCATTAGCCCCTAACAAGAGAGTCAGCCTGTCCTTTGAAGCTTTGAAGCCAGGCATTGACTTCTCCTCTCTAGCTATGACAGTCCTAGTTATCTTTTTCCAATACAAGGCTGTTTCATCCACATTGAAAATCTGTCGTTTATTGTAGCCACCTTCATCAATTAGCTAGATCTTCTGGATAACATGTTGCTCACCTTGCACTTTTATGTTATAGAGATGGCTTCTTTCCTTAAACCTCATCAGCCAACCTCTGCTGGCTTCAAACTTCTTCTGCAGCTTCCTCACCTCTCTCAGCCTTCACATAACTGAAGAGAGTTAGGTCCTTGCTCTAGATTAGATTAGGCTTTGGCTTAAGGGAATGTTGTGGCTGGCTTGATCTTCTATTCAGACCACTGAAACTTTCTCCATGTACCAGCAATAAGGCTGCTTTCCTTTCTTATCATTCATGTGTTCACTGGAGTAGCACTGTTAATTTCCTTCAAGAATTTTTCCTTTGCATTCACAACTTGGCTAACTGTTTGGTGCAAGAGGCCTAGCTTTCAGCCTAGCTCAGCTTTCAATATGCCTTCCTCACTGTCTTGGTCATCTAGTGCTGCTATAACAGAAATAACCACAAATGGATGGCTTTAACAAAGAGAAATTTATTTTTTCACAGTCTAGTATGCTAGAAGTCCAAATTCAGGGTGTCAGCTCCAAGGGAAGGCTTTCTCTCTTTGTTGGCTCTGGAGGAAGATTCTCGTCATCAATCTTCCCTTGAACTAGGAGCTTCTCCACGCAGGAAGCCTGGGTCCAAAGGACGTGCTCTGCTTCATGTGCTGCTTTCTTGCTGGTACGAGGTCTTTGTGTCTCTCTGTTCGCTTCTCCCTTTTATATCTCAAAAGAGACTGGCTTAAGACACAATCTAATCTTGTAGATCTCATCAATATAACTGCCGCTAATCCATCTCATTAACTTCATAGTGATAGGATTCTCAACACATAGGAAAATCACATCGGATGACAAAATGGTAGACAATCACACAATACTGGGAATCAGGACCCAGCCTAATTGATACACATATTTTTGATGGACACAATTCAATCCGTGACACTCACTAAGCTTAATAATTTCTAGCTTTTGATTTAAAGTGGGAGACATGTGACTCTTCCTTTCACTTGAACACTTAAAGGCCACTGTAGGATTATTAATTGGTCTAATTTCAATATTGTCACGTCTCAGGGAATAGGAAGATCTGAGGAAAGGTAGAGAGATGGGAGAACGGCCAGTCAGTGGGGCAATCA